ACGGTCGGCGGTGGAAGGTGACCGGAAAAATAAGAACAAAAAGGCTCGAATAAATATTACCCAAAAGCCTTCTAATGGATAACCTAAAACACCCACTTCGATTAATTTTGGTGGTGTGATTAATCAAATCTCCCCAACTCTCAAAAAACACGATATGTCTCTCTTATGGAAGAAAGGAAAATTGAGTAGCATCAAATCCTCTTGAAGAGATTGGGACAAGGTGTATTTATAGGCTCCATTAGGGACATAAAGGAGGTGCTAAATATGGTTTTATCCCATTATGTTAAGAAATCCTAATTCTACTCCATATACTTTTCCAAACTAGGATATAATTCATTGTACTATCTATTACCTTCTAGAAGACTCTTTCGTAACCTAACCCTAGATAATATTCTAGAAGGAATATTCCTCTCCTAATGGAATATTAATTATGAAATAAAATTAATTCCTTAATCTAAATAGAAATAAATAATAAAACATCTCACTAGAGTAATATTATTGCTCTTCCGATTTAGCTCCCAATTTATTTAATGAATTCCAACCTCCACTTGATTAATAAATATTAATCTAATTGACCGATTTACCTCCCTATGTTTAAGATATAAGGTCCGTCGATTATTTAATTACTGACAAAGTAATTAATAAACTTCTTATTCATTCCGAATTAGTACCACTCAGTTCATTAATCATTATGTCGGATAATCATCCACTTGCAGGGTTTGACAAAATATTCATTCCTGGGCTTATTTCGGAGACATAATCAATCAGCGCACTGGAACATAGTGATCGTAAATAATTTATAACGGCACATCATATAAACACCCTTTTTACCAAAATATCGAGTATGTCATCCTTACAGAATAGGAATCACCCTTGGTAGATCAAATAAACAAGTAATGAATATACATACCCGTTTTATATTACGTTACAGCTTACGAGGACGCACCAATAATCGAAGGTCTTGATTACAACAACGATCAGTGAGTCTCATAATCTTATCCTTATGCGATCTTGTTCAATACTTATCGTAAGTACTAGTGTTGCTCTCCAATCAAAGACAAACTGAATCAAGAATACACTATTGTCTTTTTCCAATATGGGTCTCACTGCCTGTCTAGACTGTGAACGAATAATTTAGTCTTATAAGGAACCGATAGGTGATCTTCCTGTTCGAGACACCACGAACCACTCTATCACAATGTAAGACAAGATGTATGATTGCATAAATAAATCAATTGCAAACATATGTACTTTGACTAAAACATGATGGCTAGATCAAAATAGAATTGATAGAATCTGC